CCGGCTCGGGGATTAAAGCAGTTCATGACAGGGCGTAAAATCTTCCCATTGCCATCATTTTTTTGTCATCGTGGTTATTACCTCTAAAAATTGAAATAAGTAAAGCCAACGTCTATTGTTTTTGTCAGTGCAGTTGACATTAAGCTGTAAAGAGTGTGCAGAAATTCCGTGTTTTGACTTCGATTTGAAGAATAATATTATGATTTTATGAACTAATAACTTGAACAGCGATGTGGTCCATTAGAAAAAAACTAATTAAATTTGCAGGGGGAAATGGCGTGCACTGTTTATACGACCTTACATAGAGTTTGGACGTCAATTTCCGCCATCTTGGTTTCACTTTTCGAATGACTGAAGTTCTTGCTCCAGGTACATATAGAGCTCACTGGTCCAATCTCGTTGCCAGCCTGTTTTCCATGGGGATGCATGGGGAATACCTTATTTAAACGAAGCATGAATAGGAGTTTTAGCTAGTGACTTAGTAAATCACCATTCTTATCTATAGCACTCTCATTCATGCTGAGTTGAAAAGGAAGAAAATATTGGCCAGTGCTATATATCTTACTCCCAGATATATACAGGGTGCCCCCCCCCCCAAAAAAAACAAAATTATTGAAATAACGTATTGCTAGAATTTGAATGCTTCAGCACTCTGCTGAACCCACAATTACATCATTCATCAAAGCTTGGCATAGGTAAATTTTATGCATAAAGAAACGTTTAAGAAGCTGCTTTAAACTCCCAGAGGCAAAGCAGAAAATCGTGCGCTTTACAAAGATATTTTAATTTCTTAATAGATCAATATTTAATATATGCATCCTTGTCAATATTTTACGCATCTTTGCGTTCAGCTTAGTGTTAGGGCATTCATATTTTAACATTACGTTATTTCAATGGTTTGGGATTTTTGGGGACACCCTGTATGCCTCATAGATATCTTATATACACTAGATAGCGCATCTCTTTTAGTTAAATTGAAGCCAAGAATATTCCAGCGGTTACCCCCATTTGAATAGATGGCGGCCATGTTGGAGTTTCCCACTCGCTAATAAACGCTTAAAAACAACAATAACATTTATCATTTGAATAGTTTGAAAATGTATTTGGAATAGGTTTAACTTAATGTTTAAGTTCCCTGTTTAAGAAATAGAAAACATACGATCGATCGAGTCTCATTTCATGGGAATATCCTGTGTCTGCAATCACGGCTTCAATTTTTGAATTGCAGAATTATTAGATGCACTATCTAGTGTATATAAGATATCTATAGTATGCCTACAATATCACTGTTAATTTAAAGGGTATAAAATTCTGCAAAGCATTCCCCAAAGCATCATTCCAATCATTATTATATACCAAGCTATAAGTGTCGGAGACTCAAAGTTCATGTTTTCTTGAATCTCATGTGACGAGAGCGTATCACGTGAAAACACGAAATTCGACTGTCTCCTGGCAACAGCTCCGAGCGGTGGACATTATTATTTTTATACCTTTTATTCACCGGTGAATAATAAAATCGCCGAGTTATGAAGCAATGAGTATATGGACGCTTCCCGTTTCTTTTTGTTTACTTTCGAAATTTGTATAGAATGAAATACTGCATGATTGGCTGGAACTTTCGGGAAACAGTGTGTTTTATGGAATCTCGACTGCCAAACCGTTTTGCTCGGCAGTCAATTAATGTTAGTTACCCACTTATTTCCAACAAACTCCAAACTTTGCATCCAAACCCAAAAGGTTTATCACAAACAGCCCCACAAAGTAGCTATGACTGTTTCCCCTGAAACAATCATTGAAAATATAAACTATTCGATCATCACTCCGAAAAACCAGTTTTTATATACAAACCCAAAATTTCATGCATTTTCACACCAAATTTTTCGTATTTCAGAAAAAGTATAATATTTTGGGTTTTTTTAAGTGTGTTACCTAAGTGTCAAGCAGAAAAAGCAAGCGAGTCGAAATACCGAAAAAATTGCAATTTATCGCGCCTACTGTATAGTATAATTGTTATTTTCCAACTATACGTGCGTGAAGCCATAAGTCTATACAGCTGCATGTTCATCGTGTTGTCAGATAACAAGCGACAATAAAAATTATAACCATAGCTTTTCTTGATCTTATCCCAGTGCTCTATCAACAGTTCTAAATTACTGTCTATAGAGATCAGGTGTTCATTAATTAAACGTTTATACTGCAAAAATTGCACAGCCTAGCTTTAGCCAATCAAAATCGAGTAATTTGTCATGTATATTGTTATTAAGTTCTATATAGTGCTTCATGCACCCTGGATTTTTTTAGATTTTGGTAGCTACAGCCGTCCACAAAATATATTGAGACTTTTGCAATTGAAATAATCTCCCCCCTTTCATATTTCAACGTTGTATGAAACGCTATATATTACATGTTTGAGAAATAAACATAGCGTGATACCAGAGAACAGCACCTGTCCCATTATGGCAGTTGACATTTAACGTATGAAGTTGAAATAAATAATATTATAGTACAAAACAACATTAATTAAAATCGGGGAGGGAGGGAGGGAGGGAGGGGGGGTTGTTTCAAATATTTTGTGGACAATTGTAGGTTTTCCTATGTAGTATTTTGAAGCCAATGTCTATTAAGGTCGTACACAGTTTTAATACTATTTTTCCCGGCTAATCCCATTTTAATATTTAACAAATTAAAGAAAATGTGCAAAAACTAAAACAAAAAATGACTATTGATATAAAAATTTGGTCACGAATAAACCCTTTGTAGCTGGCCTAAAACATGCAGTTTGCATAGCAAGATCTGGACGCCATCCCTTTGTTTACAAATACCACAGACACAGCTCTCCAGCGACTCAGTTATTCTTCTCAACTATTTTTAGCCAAGTCTTCAAATTAAAGAACCTATATTCCAGACGAGTAGCTACGTGTGTGAAGCAAATATTATGGAAATAAATAAAATATTTGTACTTTATGGCAGCACACTTATTTACATGTAAGCACCTCATCTAAGTGGGTGTGTCAACAATTGTGCAAGAAACTGGCCGAATTTTACACAATGACTTTGACAAACACAAGTCATTCTTCTCATGCTAAATATTCTTTAAGTTTGCACAGTTTCTTATCTAAAACCAACATAGTTTTTCAGTCTAGAACTTTCTCGATTTAGTACTGTTAACAAATAAATTACTTACGTTCATTTTACGCCTGAAAATTTCGATTTAGGTATTAATATTTACAGTACTAGTGTAAAAGTCGACTACATTTTGAACAGCAGTTAGTCCACGAGTTGACGTTTTTGAGCTCGGATTAGTTACACAATATTCAAATAAGTTTCTGGCAGGAGCATTAAACGACAGGTGCTGTTTTGTGAACAGTCAGTTGGAACTTGGAAGTTGAAAAGATAAGTCAGAATTTTGAGCACAATTTGGGAGTTAATTGAAAGTCCCCAGGAGAAGAGAAGGTTAGTAACATATATTGAAAGAAATACTACGAATTAGATTAATAAAGAGGTAAGACGCACACCAAGTATATTACATTTATTGGAACGTGTTATTTCTAGTTTATTTTTTGATTTTCTGAATAACCGTACGCATTGAATATATATATAATTACTTTTAATTATTTTTCCAGATTGACTTCTAGCAGAATTAATTAGTTGGCATTTTAGGTCGTTTTCGAAATTTTTATTATCATAGGTCTTTAAGTGAAATAAATGCTTCTCGTTTTTATAATTTCTTCAGTTCGGTTGCCAATCTCCCGTTTTTTAAAATGTCTTTCAGTTCATCATCAATCTGCGAAATGGTGTCCTTTGATCCGTGTTTATATGCTTTTGTTATTTTGTCGTGCATAACCTTGTCATTATGTGCCGAGTGGTGTTTCATAAACGTTTCTAATTTTATCTGTGAAAACAAAAATGTTAGAAGACGAGTTAATTTTCTGGTTAATTTTCTGGAATTTCCCAAAGATTCGTTTCTTGCGTCAAAACAAAAGGTGACTTCGGATCATGAAGTGCCGCCGACTAATGAAAACCAGCCGCAGACGTTTTGCAATTATAACATACAGTAGTTAATTACCTTGTTCTGTTAAATTTGGAGTATTTTAATTTGTCTGCTGCAAATTTATTCAAATTCGATCCAAACTCTTCATAATGTATAAATAATATATACTGATATCAGTTTCTCACGTATTAAGAAATTGAAAAAATTCAAAAAGTCTAATTATTAAGTCATACACGAAGAATTGACGAGTATACATGTCACGCAGCATTGCCCTGAACTTCCTAGAATTTGTCTAACTAGTGTGGTATTTTTATTTTTTCCTTAGGATCAAGTTTTTTAGTGATGTTGTCAAACAATACCACAGTTATGTGTCCTATGTATAATCATACAAATCTAGCACGGACGGATCTATGCACCGACAGTGATTGGAAGAAATTAATTAGGGTATTTCAGGAGCAGCTTTTCTCAGCAGAGAAAATAGTACTAATTATTTTTGCTGTTTCTACCATTCTTGGAAACGCTTTGGTTTTGGTGGTCACTTGGAGAGAACGAAGTCTACATCAACCAAATAAATATTTTATTGTTTGTCTGGCTGTCAGTGATCTTTTGGTTGGTATGATTTTAGAACCATTGAGGGTGTATCAACTCAGTCTCGATTATGAATCGCGGTTGACTATATCTGTTCATCTATGTCGTTTTTTGGTATGGTTAGATACCTGCGCGTTAGCAGCATCTATTTATTCACTGACATTCATCAGTTTTGACCGATTTATTAAAATAAAGAAACCACTTCAATATAGATCAAGAATGACAACATCCAAATCATTGAAAATTATCTTTATCATTTGGTTGATTTCAACTGCCTTTGCCACCTACGCGGCCACTCCTCATTCAGGAAGCAGGGGAATCTTGCTTACAAGCGTCGGATTTTGCGGTCACATCGACAAAAAAGCAATGAAAAATTTCTATACTTTTCTGGCAGTAACTGCGTTTATTCTACCCACATTAGTTATAGTGGTTATGTACGCTCTCATTTTTGTTGTTGTTCATAAACGACAAAAGATGCTGAGAAATGGCGAACTGGGTCAAACCTGCAATGATCGGAACCAACGAAATGCCTTTCTTCAAGATCTAAAGATTATCCGAATGTTAGTGGTCGTCGTGGGAGTGTTTATACTTTGCTGGGGTCCTTACTTTATTTATATAATGCTTTATCACCACGATCCAAATTTGATTGATTGGGATAGCAGGTCATTCAGGTACTCATGGCGTCGGATTATCATAACTGACTTAGTAATAACCAGACTTCCTTATTTGAACAGTTTATGCAATCCAATAATTTATGCCTGTCTGGACCAAACGTACAGAGAAGCTTTCAAAAATCTATTTCAGCGAATGATGTGCCGACCAAGCTCAAGAAGACGAGAACTACCTGCGACAATAGAGTTACCTCCACTGAGAACAAGATAAATGTATAAATTAAATGTTGTTGCAAAATGGTATTATTTGGAAAGAACGCTCTCCTTTACAGATCTTTCTACTTCAATGTATACTCCCAAAAAGTATAGAAATTAGTATATAAAATGTGAATAATCACTTTTGATGGAAAAACGTTGTTAAAAGGCGTTAGCTTTAAATTATCAACTTGAGGCCCGTTTTATACGTCGAATTTTGGTCGCATCGAATGCAATTAAGACAATAAATAATAAGACGATGAACCTCATTATAAGCTTCATTATCTATTGTTTGAATTGCATTCGACGCGACCAAAATTTGGCGTATAAAACGGGCCTGACAGAAAATTGAAAAATTTAAATATTTATTTTATCCTGAATTTAAATATAGTTTAAGCCAGTGTGCTATGTATTTACCCCCCGAAAAATTTTTTAATATTTAAACGCCCAAAAAAACGCAACTGCAACGGAAATGCAACTAAAATTTGCATACCGTTCACTTTCAACTGGCACATTTACCCGTTATTACTCTTATAAAATTTACCTCTTAATTTACCTGAAATGACTCATGAACAAAAATTGGGGGGGGGGGG